CAAACATGTGTGATGCTTTCTATCTAATCTCCCATCCCCCACCCTCAAGCCAAACTACCATAATGGCCTCCTAATTCATTTCTGGCCCCTTTCCATCCCTTCTCTGTAGAGCTTCCAGAAAGACCCCTTCGCAAGCAACGGCAGGTGAATCCCTCCACCCGTTAATGGCAGATGCAGGTGCCCCCTCCCTTTCCAGTCTCACCTCCTCCCACTGGCTAACTTCAGCTCACTTTATCATGTCATCGTGACAGGACATGACATCATGTCCCCTGCACTGCACATCTGCACCACACTGACCCTCCAGCTCCTCAGCACTGCCTACGCCACCCCCACTCCCTCTCAGGGTCTTGGCGCAGAACCTTCCCTAGCCTTCCAGACCTTCGTGGGACCCTTGGTTCACAGTCCTTACCAGGTTTGAAACTGTTTATTTGCATTTTGGTGGTCTGCTCAATGCCTATCACCACTAGGGTTGTTGTAAAGATCTAATCAGTGCACAGATACGGGAATGCTTGGAGAATCGTAAGCAGAACCCCAGTGTTAAGTCACTGTTTTCCCATCGCTACCTTTAAAGAACTCTCTGCCCTCAAAACAAAATGTAAATGAAAGAGCAATGCATCACTTTCCCCAAACATCAAAGGAAATGACTTCTTTAGCAGGCTCTTTTTTTATGTTAGACCAAGACAGTAGCAGGCATGACACAGGGAGTGATTAATCTTGGGATCTCCTGGCATCAAATAAAACCCCACTTCCCTCAGGCCAGGGGAGCCATTGACGGCAGCCAGCCAGAGGCCTGACAGTCTCCCCGGTGCCGGAGCATGTCCCCTGGACCTGACACACCTGCTCCCTAAGGTACCAGTGGCCAAAGGAGAGTAAATATTAACCGTGGCAGGGAATGATTAGTCAGCTGTGGACAGCTTTCCACGGTTTCCGAGGTACTGACCCGAAAAGGAGCCGAAAGGAAAGAAGATTGGGGTAACCTGCCCGCAGGGCTGGCCATCGTGCACGCGCCTCTCCGGGTCTGTTCCACATCTCCTCAAACTTTGCTCTCTCTGTTGGGGATGCTGAACTCTGTGGGCTGCACATTCATGCTCCTTTGCCCTCCGACTTCAGCCAAGGAGGGGCACCAGCAGGAGATGCAGGAAGGGAGGTGAAGGAGGTAGGGCATATGATTCTCCCGGCTTCCTCCCTGCTTGGGTCATCCCTGGGCGGGCCGTGCCCCTTGACCAAAAGATTCTCCCAGTACGGGCTGCTTCGCTAGCTTGCTCCCCTTCCCCAACAACCCCATGTTCTGGGAACTGGCCCCTCCCATTTCAAGTCCAGGGTGACCTGGTTCCCCTGGGCTATTGCTCCTGGGATACGGCAGTCGGTTTCCCAACAGCTGCTCACATCTGGAGTGTCAGAGTTCCGCCCAGAGGAGTCTGAGGAACTCAGGGATGTGTTTTCGTGAGCGCCTGTATTTCTGTCATCTGAGGTGGCTGAGGAAAGGAAGGCTTCTCAGGAAAGGCTTCTCTGGGAAACAAGACTTGAGCTGACCTCCCATCTAGGCAAGTCTGGGAGGGACCTGGGCAGGAGGTGGGCGGAGGGAATAGGGGAATCCCAGAAGGGAGAACCATCTGTGCAAAGGCCCTGTCACACGTTGTTTCCCTCACACCTACTGAGCCTCACACAAAAGGTCTTAGGCCTTTTTTTTTTTTCACATTTGATTATGTAAGCGTTTGTGGGGAACACACTTGGCCACTGTAATGGCTACACAGATATAAGATGTTAATGGTAATAATAATCATGTTCATAAAAATCCTGGAGTGTCAGTTTTACCTCTCAGATACATCAGTGCTTCTTGGCACCCCAGACTTAGTCCACAGTGCCCAGCGCAAGGACAGCTATGTATTTCAAGTCTAATAAGCATATTGCGATGGGCTAAATGTTTGCTTTACCACCCCCCCCACCGCTAACTCATACATAAAATTCCTAACCCCCAATGTGATGATGAAAGGGGGAAAAGAGATGGGGTTATGCGGCGGGGGCGGGGGGGGGGAATGGGGGGGTGGTTAGGTCATGAGGGTGGAGCCCTCATGAATGGGATGAGTGCCCTGATAAAAGGGACCTCAGAGAGCTCTCTTGCCCCTTCCACCACACAAGGAAACAGCAAGAAGTCGGTGGTCTGCCACCCAGAAACGGGTCCTCCCAGAGTCCGGCCAGTCAGGTGCTCTGATGTCAGAATTGAGAAATACATTTCTGCTGTTTTAAGGTACCCAGTTTATGGTATTTTATTGTAGCAGCCCGAACTAAAACACATATGCAAGCGATTGACTGACCGAGGACCCAGAGGAGGGCAAAAGCCAGCAGCCGCGAAGCAGCGCCTCAGAGAGACCTCCACTGTGCTCTGCGGAGGGCCGTGCAGGACACGCAGGTGCGGGGACTTCAGCTTAACTCTGAACTTGACCTTGGGCAGATGATACTTATCTCCAGATAATGCTTGCTCAGGTCTCAGGCCCCAGGATAGGAGATAAGCGAGAGAGTTATTTTGGTCTCCTGAATGCCTGGAGAAGAGCTGGGTGTTCCCAGGGTGACGGGGTTAAATTCAGCCTGGGTGTGGGGTTTCATGCTGCCCAGTCCCCACAAATATGCAGCTCGTCAAAGAAGACTGGAGGTACCTTTGTTGAAAGCCCTGATGCCTGATAAATGATGCCTTTTCTCTGAAAGAGGAAGTGATATTTTAGATTAGCCTTTTTTTTTTAATGTCTTTTCACCTCAGGCTATAAATTTAATTCCTGGGTCTCTCCCTATACCCCAGAGTGATAAAGAATCCAAAAAGGAGTCAAAAAGTCAACTTTCACTTTCCCGGAAAGCAGGTTATTACACCAGATAGAAAAAGTGAACTTTGGGACAGGAACCCCAGTCCTCTCTAATGCACTGCAATGTGGTCCCAGGGAGACACCATCTCTCTTTGGGCTCGATTTTCTCATCTGTAAAATGAATGGCTTATATTAGATGATCTATGAGAATCTCGGATTTTACGATTTTGAGTTACATTTTTTTTTCCAGAAAATAGATCTTAAAAGTCAATATGTTCTCACCCTTGTTATTTCTTGGAGGATAACACACCATCCGTGCCCCCAGTGCATTCTGTGTGGTTAATGGGCCTCCTACGAGGGTACATGAATCTCCTGATATGGCACACCCCATTTTGTGCCTATGTTATCTTTTTCCTGGAAAAAAAGGTCCATGGCTTTTAGATTCATATTTGGGTCCCATGTGCTTTTAGCAGAAAAACACAGGTGTGAATGCTCAGATGTCAGGGAGAGTGTTCCCGGGAGACCAACCCCAGGAGCTGACACCCCCATCCACCCACTGTGTGCTACATGTTCAGGGGAAGAAAAACCCCTTCGTGGTTAGGAATATTCCAGGAGAAGGATGGCTACTGATTTGGGGTGGGATCAGGGAGGTGGACAAACCCTGAAGGGAAACGGAGATTGGGAACCCGGTATAAAAGCATAATGCAGGTAAAATATGCTGCATCCTCAATTAAAACAAACAACATTGGCTCCTCTAATTTTGCTCTCTCTCTCCTGCACATGGAGAGTAACGCACCTTCCCCCACCTGTCTTCCATGAGCACCAGCCCCCAGGGTTCTGGGTTCAAGGGAAGAACGAGGCTTGGCTTGGCAGCTGGGAGTTGGCCCCAGCTAGAGCGGCTCCTCCTGCCAGAAGAACACTGGGAGCTCGCACGTCTGCATCTGCGACTCCAGCCGGGACAGGGAGGCCCCACACCAGGCCTCCCAGTGGGGAAGGACATGGGCGTGTCTGGGGCGTTTCCTCAGGATCACAGGGAACAAGGCAGAACAGCTCTGCAATTATGCAAAATGGATCTCACGCATGGATTTTTTTCTTTTTTTTTTTTTTTAAGATTTTATTCATTTGTCTGACAGAGAGAGACAGATAGTGAGAGATAGTGAGGGCAGGAACACAAGCAGGGGGAGTGGGAGAGGGAGAAGCAGGCTTCCCGCCGAGCAGGGAGCCCGATGCGGGGCTCGATCCATGACCTGAGCCGAAGGCAGACGCTTAACGACTGAGCCACCCAGGCGCCCCTCACGCATGGATTTTTTAAGGACAATTTGAGACATATAATGGCAGAGTGGAAGTCACACCATATAACATTGCGAGAAAACATAAGCATGGTCATGTAGAAATTGAGGCTTTGGACTTGTAACTTACATAGTATACGCTATTATTCAAAAGTTTAAACATATGTGAGACAACTCATAGCAAATATGCTGACATATGGCATTGAAACCAATATGTCAACACTTATAAGAAAACATCTATAAAATAAAGTCAACCACATTCTCTTTACATTTAGGCCACAAATGAGACCACTGCTGAGCATCTCTGGTTAAGCATTAACACACACCAGGACCTACCTGTAACCTGTCTGTGAAGGTGTACTGCCCCAGCTAATTAATACATCACTGGAAGATCAAGTTCAGGGAACAATATTGAGCAAGTGCATTCCTGAGGCCTCACTTAACCCTCTTGAAGGGGGGTGGAAGTCCAGAAAGAAAGAACAGGGAGGAGAAGGAGAAGAAATGAAAGAGATTTTCATTATCATTTTGCCACTGTAGAACACCCCACAGTTGATAAAAATGGTGTGTGTGTGTGTGTGTGTGTGTGTGTGTGTGTGTGTGTGGAGTGGGGATGCGTATGTGTTGGCCAAATCCTGAAATCATGCCACTTGGGGAACAGGGGAAGGAATAAGAGCTGTTTAGACAAGGAAAGACCCCATGCAAAGACTCCTGTAACAGCACCCCTCCATTTGTAGGGCGGCTGGCTGACTGGGCAGAGACAAAGCTGTCTCGCCTGCCCCTCCCCTCCCTGGGACTTTTTTCTTCCTCTGTGATAGGAGATGCCTGGTTCTCCACTCTTGCTGTAATTAGAATCACAAATACAGATCCTGGGACCCCACCCCCACCCCCCAGATGAGAATCTCTTCAGGTGGGAAACAAGCACTGGTGTTTTCATAGCGCCCGGGTCATCCTCATGCACACTCAGTCGGGTGGACAAGCCCTTGGTCAACTTATCCCCGGGGGTCCCCGAGTGTGACATTCATGAACGCTTTCAGCCCTGAAACTGTACTTAACTCAGTCATATATAATGATCTTCCACGTCCGCGGTGGCCCTGGGAGGAATCACAATCCTGAGGGAAACTCAATCCATAAAATATTGATGTACACTTTACAAATACTCAACCAGTGAGTTCACCAAAGCCAACCGAATAGGGAATGCTGAGGGAGGGGAATTGCTCGGGTCTTGGGCTGGGACCTGCTTGCTGTGACTTCTAAGATACCTGTTTCCAGCGTGGTTATGGGGTTTTTCCATCCCCAGTGAATTAGAAGCACAAATTGGAAGGTTGCTTTGGTGAAAGAACTGGTTATGTTTATTAACAGTGGAAAAAGGAAGAACTAGCATCCTGACAGTGAGATCAAAAGCTAAAACACTAAAAAACACAGTGCAGGGCTCACTAAATATCACAGTCTGGGGATATTTGGTGTAGGGGCAAGCGCTCCACTTAACTTCAAAGACGCTGGTGATCTCTCTGCATCATTAACAATTCAGGAGAAAAGAATTTATGTTCAGGGAACTCTACGGAACAAGGCAAGGGTGTGTGTGTGTGTGTGTGTGTGTGTGTGTGTGT